GTACCCATTGAGTGTGGGCATTTCAGATGCCTCCTAACCCTTATCATCATCCCAAATCAATGACATGCCCAGGATGTTAAGTGTTATCTCTTCAGGTGGATACATATGAGCAAGAATGTTTTTCTTTTCCTCCTGCATCTTAAGTGGATTGTCCTTGGGGACAAGTTGAACATATTGCAGCTGCAGAGAAGGTGAGAAATGCATGCATTTGCTCTCCAGCATGGGGATGGCCTGATCCTCTTCCCCTTTTGCTTTTTAGCTGGTCTAGTGAGGGATCCTCTGTGAATGGTTGCAAGTCACTTGCTCCAGGCACAGAAAAGAACAGTTCTCACCAAGCACTGTTCTTTTTTTTTTTAATATATCTTATTGATTTTTTACAGAGAGGAAGGGAGAGGGATAGAGAGTCAGAAACATCGATCAGCCACCTCCTGCACACCCCCTCCTGGGGATGAACCCGCAACCAAGGTACATGCCCTTGACCGGAATTGAACCCGGGATCCTTCAGTCTGCAGGCCGATGCTCTATCCACTGAGCCAAACCGGCTAGGGCACCAAGCACTGTTCTTTCTCAGGCTTGGTCCTACCCAGTATAAGAAAGACAAATACTTTCATGTCAAGCTCCACTGAGGTCATCCTGTCCCCCACTGGCCAGAGAGAATATCCAGTCATGCTGGACTGTGATGCAAGCATGTTGCTTTCTGCTTCTCTTGGTCCTTTCTTTTCCAAGTTCTATCAATGGACAGGGTGGTACTTTTCCCACAGTGCACAATGCAGGTGGGAGATGCTAAGCCTCTGAGATTTATGCAGAGGGGAAGAATTACATCAAACAGTATTGTCACCCTGTCCCTGAAATAATGATAAATGAAGCTGCAGCCTGCTTCCCCCCAATCTGCCTTCGTAATCTTGTATGGCAAACAGGTCAAATTTGTCACTGCCAAATGCAATAAATTCTTGTCTATGGTTTTGGAAAAAGATAAATCATCAGAGAATAATCTCCAAATACTCTGCAAAGGTTCTGTAGCCCCACACTGGGTATCTAACAGTAGAGAATTAAGGAAGTTGTGCAAATCCAAATTTTTAAATCCTCACCTGAGGATGTGTTTTTATTGATGAGAGAGAGAGAGAGAGAGAGAGAGAGATGAGAGAGAGAGAGAGAGGTGAGAGGTGAGAGAAATCGATCAATTGCCTTCTGTACATGCCCCAAGTAGGGATTAAACCCTGCAATCTAGGTATGTGCCCTGATCAGGAATGGAACCCACAACATTTCGTGTACTGGACCAGGGTTGTTAGTCTGCCCTTTTTTTTGCAATGAGGAAAATGAAGGTCACTGAGGAAAAGAGCCTCAATCTTCAGATTCCAAATTCCAGGCCTTCCCATAGCCTCAACATCTCTCTTTATCAGTTTGCGCATTGTGTTGGAGGTAGGACTGGGATAAATTTGGGGAGAAAAACTGTAGCCCTTGAGTAGTTGATCTCTCCTGTCCTTGGAGGAAAGCAGAAGAGTCAGGATTGCTGGGAACCTGGACTTTGTGAGTCCCCAGGGGGAGAAGAGCCCTGGTGTGCTCCTCTGTCCTGCGCCATCTTCCTGCCCTGCCCAGCCTGGCCCGGCCACTGTGGAGCTGAGCCCTCCCTTCACTTGGGCTCCCACCTGCAGTGAAGCACGGCGCCTAGTCACACCCCCAGGCTCGGCATAGCCCAGGTGCAGAAGGGTTGTAACAAGAAACTCTCTCCAGCTTGGAACAGAAGGGACTCCCTTCTTTCATCTGTTGTTTATTTGTGGTTTGAGGTCAAGATTCAACTGAGACCAGTGAAAAGATGATTCTATACATAGTCAACTGATGGTGGAACTGCTTTGGGGTTCCCAGGAATTTTCCAGTCCTGCCCAAAACCCAGGAGGTGGTAAGGTATCACCAGGGTAGCCCTTTTTGGCCCTAATGGAAATTTATTGTGCCAGACTGCTCACCACTTAACTTTACATATGTTCCCAGAGGCAGCGAGGATTACACAGTGCCCAGCCACTGGAAAGCTTACCCTCCCCAAAGGGAGGTCCGCTGCCCACTTTGCTGAGGGGTAGCTTGGGTGCGTTCTTAGCTGGAGATAACAGAATCCACTCCAACTAGCTTAAGGAGAAAGAGGTTTATCAGTGGAAAGAGATAACTTGCAGACCTGTTGTGAAGGCCAAAGACAGGGAATCGAGGTTGAGCTTCTAGGAACTACTGCCCAATGTGAACTGGGGAACGGAGCTGCTAAGGGGTGGGCTGCCTTGTCACGGTCATGGAGTAAGGAAGCAGCTGCGGCATCCAGAAGCAGCCACCACACTGTCAGCAGAGTCCCGCTGCCGTGATCCAAACCAGTAACCTCCACGTCCCAGGCCCTGCCTCTCTTCCCAGTGGCTCAGTTCTGAATGGAAGTCTCGCACTAGGGCTTCTGAAAGGCAGAACCTCAAACACGTCTGGGACTGTCGGCACATGGGGGTCCGCCTGTGCACCCTAGCTGGGTGTAAAAAGAGTGGAGAGTGAAGCTCTCAACAATACTTTCCACAGTGGTTTTAACCCACTCTCTCCCGTCCACTGGCATATTAAAGAACAAAGCTTTTTCCCCGTCCATCTGTCCTTCCATCTGTCCATCATCTATCCACCTATATATCCATCCATCGATCAGAGTTTTGCACTTTGGGTATTTTATTTTTATCGGTTTCAGAATGTATCGAAAAGATAAGGATTTTTTTTAAAAAGTCTAATAAAATATCATTATTACACTAATATTTAAAGCAGTAACCCCTAAATATCATCAAATATCTAGTTGGTGTTCAAATTTTCCCAATTGTCTCATAATTTTAAAAACAGTTTGTTTGAATCAAGTTCCAGATAATGGTGGTTTAGTGCTTACAACATGCAGTCGATTGATGTCTCTTCAGCTTCTTTTAATCTATAGCTTCCTGGCCCCTCTCCCCACCCTGCCTTGCTCTCCCCTCCAGTCTTTTCTCCTCCTCCTGTTTTCCTTCTCTCTCTCTCCCGCCTCTTCCCCCTGCCCTCCCCCTTCTCCACTTTCTGCTCTTTCTCTCCCTCTCCACTTCCAATGTATTTGTTAAAGGACCTGGGTCACTTGTCTTAGAGAGTCTCTCACAGTCTGGGTTTTGCTTCCTGTGTCTCCGCATTATCCTCTGACGTATTCCCCCATGTTTTGTATTTCCTATAAAGAGGCACTTACAGCTAGAGGCTGATTTTATTTGGGTTTAATCAGAATACTTGAGAGGTTTGTGTGCACCACTCAGAGGCTTGCGATACCTGCTTGTCTCTCTTTTGGTGACATAAGCAGCCAGCCGTGGATGATCATTGCCTAGATCTTGCATTTCATTAGGGGCTTGCAAAGTGTTTAGATTCTAAGTCCTTCATTCCTGCCTCATTTATTAGCTGGAATAAATGAGGGATGGACCAAACTCAGCCAGGAATTAAGTGGCCTGTGTCATCTTCAAAGTGCTTCCTGGACAGGTTGGGTTTACTTGGCAAAGCAGAGGGCTTTGGCCTCCTTCTCGCTCTCTTTGTCTCTGTGGGCTACTGTTTAACTTCACGCTGTTAGATGGTATATATCAGTGGTCGGCAAACTCATTAGTCAACAGAGCCAGATATCAGTACAACGATTGAAATTTCTTTTGAGAGCCAAATTTTTTAAACTTAAACTATATAGGTAGGTACATTGTTATTAACTTAATTAGGGTACTGGCTCACTCAATTCATGTATGAATCGTGTGCGCCTCCCCAGCGCTGCATATCCCGCGGCCCACCTGCACCTTGTCTCCTGTCGCCCAACCGACCAACACCCCCCACTTCTTCTAACGCCACTTCTTCAAAATAGACTCGCCCAGGCCAAAAACCGACTTCTACACATGGGCCACAAAATTTCAATCACACTGTACGTGCGCTCCCACACGTGGCATTTTGTGAAAGAGCCACACTCCAGGGGCCAAAGAGCTGCATGTGGCTCGAGAGCCTCGGTTTGCCGACCACTGGTATATATTCTCCAAGAGGAGGTAAACATTTTATTTTCCCTTTACAAAAGTGCTACATGGCTATTACAGAAAATACCAAGAGCCAAAAGGTGGGGGGAAAAAACCCAAACCCATCCATAATCTTAACATCATATAATTACTTCTTAACATTTTGCTGTACTTTCTTTTAGTCTTTTGGACCATACCTATATAAATAATGTCTACTTGACACAAATGGGATTAAATGTTTATAAACTTAAAATTATCTAATATTAGTAATTTTTCATGTCATTGTTTTCTTTTCAATATAATTTTTAAATTTAAATCTTTATTGTTGAAAGTATGATGGATGTTCCTCTTCCCCCCCCCCCCCTGACCCCTTCTAGCCTGCCCCTCTCCCCCACCCCACCCCCACCCGGCCCCAGGCCTTCCTTCACCACCCTACTGTCTGTGTCCATGGGTTATGCCTATATGCATACAAGTTCTTTGGTTGATCTCTTTCCATTCACCTACCCTCCCCTGCTTTCCTTCAATATAATTTTTAATGATTGCCCAGCATTCTTACTCTGTTGTCTCTAATTATTCACATTCTTAGTTAATCTAGAATTTTGTGTTCTTTTTACAGATGAAAATCTAAAAATTAAAAATGCTTTTCTGTTCTGAAATCAGTGTAAATATTGCCCAGTGGGACCCATAGCCCACTCTAATCCACCCTAATGTGGTTGAGTGACCAATGGTAAATAAAGCAGGTGCTTTTCCTCCCTCCTCCCTCCCTCCCTCCTCCCTCCCTCCTCCTCCCTCCCTCCCTCCTTCCTTCCTTCCTTCCTTCCTTCCTTCCTTCCTTCCTTCCTTCCTTCCTTCCTTCCTTCCTGTTCCAGCTTGTACACATTGCATAGAACTGACCTTCAGCCCTGCAGGCCTTCTGCAACTCTACCTCAGTGTTAGGCTGCCCCAGGAGAGAGTGTGTGTAAGCCATTTGTTATCAATACACTTTAATCTTATCCTTGTACCCAGCCCACAAAGTTACGATAATGAGAACTTGAACTCTTCGGGACGTCACTGTGAAAGATCTTTCCTCTGTAGGCATCAGAAAGTGCTGAGAAGTCTTAGCTGAGCAACGTGCAAGGGGGAGGAAACAAGAATTTGGACCACCATTTGCTTTCCTGGATGCAAGAAATCTTTTGAGGGGTTGAATAAGGTAAGAATGCCTCTATTTTCTTGGAGAGGGAGGGATGGGTCTTGAGTCATCCATTGCCTCAGAGATCTTGATGAAACCCCAAACCTCCACCCCATTTTCTTAGCTTTGGAAACCCATTTTGCCATATCATTACTTTTTTCTTTCACAGTCTTGAGCAATAGGCACTTCAGCATGGTAAAGATGTGACAAGTGGCTTGCTGTTGTCTCATTAGAGCCTCATCACTGACCTTCTAGTACAGTGGTTCTCAACCTTCCTAATGCCGCGACCCTTTAATACAGTTCCTCATGTTGTGGTGACCCCCAACCATAAAATTATTTTTGTTGCTACTTCATAACTGTAATTTTGCTACTGTTATGAATCATAATGTAAATATCTGATATGCAGGATGTATTTTCATTGTTACAAATTGAACATAATTAAAGCATAGTGATTAATCACAAAAACAATATGTAATTATATATGTCTTTTCCGATGGTCTTAGGTGACCCCTGTGAAAGAGTCGTTCAACCCCCAAAGGGGTCGCGACCCACAGGTTGAGAAACACTGTTCTAGGATTATGCTAGATTAAGTGGGAACCATAAGGAAATGCATATTCCTTTAAAATGTAATTCTTGGTCCATTTGCCTTCTGAAGCAGACAAGACATTTGCTTTAATGTTTGAAATCAGAGTTTAATCATTATGAGAAATAAATAGTACTAATGGCTTCAAAAAGAATTGTGATATGTTGGCAGTAATTCTGGCAACAAAGTAAGAGTGGTGAAACACATCACTGAAATCTGAGTAAGAGGTGGAAACTCTGATGTTAAATCAAGTGCTGCTGTTGACTTGTGCAAAGGCTGGTAGTGGTAATCAGTCACCAGAGAAAAACTAGCAAAAAAAAAGTATGATTTTGTTGTTTGTTACACAGGCTCCTGCCACATGACTACATTTTTTACATATAGAATGTGCCTGTAGATGATCTGGGGTTGGGAGGTCCACTTGTCCGTCATCCATTTTTTTATTGCCCTTTTTGTACAGAAGTTGTCTCAGCTAACAGAGAGGCTTACAGAAACCAAAGTTTAGAGCAGGGGTCCTCAAACTATGGCCCAAGGGCCACATACAAATACAAATATTGTATTTGTTCCCATTTTGTTTTTTTTACTTCAAAATAAGATATGTGCAGTGTGCATAGGAATTTGTTCATAGTTTTTTTTTTAAACTATAGTCCGGCCCTCCAACGGTCTGAGGGACAGTGAACTGGCCCCCCCTGTTTAAAAAATATGAGGACCCCTGGCTTAGAGCAAGAACTAGGTGTACTGGGTTTGAAGTTTGCTACTGAAACAATAGCTAATGACTAATAAACCTCTTTGGATCATCAGTTTCAGAGGCATATCTTAGATGTGCTTCCTGACTTCTGGGGGCTGTCAGTGAAACCTGGGACCCAGATGCAGAACTAATTTGTTCTGCCCTAAATTTAAAGTTGTTCCTACTGCTGATCTTGATGGTGGTCATGGTGCCATATGAGGAAAGTCTACCAATAACCAGGAAGTTTAGGAAGACGTTTCAGTCTCCTTGTCCATTCCCAGATCAGCCCTTCCTCTGAAGTGTTTGCTGGGTGACTGATTTTTAACCTCTAGTCCAGGGGTTGCAAAATAAAATGACTACCAAGACCAGGTGGTAACTTAGATATACAAGACCCATGGGGTAGGGGCTATGGCAAGTTGGAGAAGGCATGCACCATCTAAAAAGAACAGCACCTACCAAGTTTTGAAACTTTTGGCAAATGGGAATGCTGGCTCAGTGTTGCCACATTTTAGAAAGTATTTTGAAAGAAATTTGAAGTTTCAGATTTGTAAATGTGGACTCTATAGAAAAATTGTGAGACTTAACCTTTTATCTTGTCAATTAAGTCAAATTGAAACAAAAAAATTGTCTGGGCTGTACTACACACCATTGTTTGTTGCCAATTTACAACTCCTGGGGGTGGCGGCATCTTAGCCACCATTGGGGCGGAGGCAGGACGTGGGATTCCAATCCCATTTCACTGCTCAGGTTTCCTAAAGCAAGTCCCTTCCTGTGATTCCAATAATCCTCCAATGGTCTCATATAAACGCCCTTCAAGGACCATGAAGAACACAGAGTCTTTGCCAATTTGGAACCCAGTGATGAATGTCAACATTTTGAGCACTTATTACATTCCATGGAACCAACAAATTATTACTTGCATCATCTCCTCTTATTTTTATGGGAACTCTACGAGATAGATACTAAAATGATCACCATCATATTCCTATTTACAGATGGAGAAACTGAGGCTCATTGTCTGGGATTTCCCAAGTTCAGTTGCAGTAAGTGGCAGAAATGAGATTTGAATTCTGGAGTCAGACTTCAGAATCCAGTTTTTAATGACCATTATTATACTTTCTCCTGTTATACGACTTTCTAGCTTGTATAGTCCCTCCGCGTAATGATGAATTCTCCTCCTAAAATATCCTAAGGAATTTGTAAGGACATTTTCTGCTTTTGTAGAACACAGGGGCATTTGTATTTTTATCCTCTTCATTTGCTACAAGGTTTGCAAAATGTGTGAAATCCTTATCACTGGAGAGGAAGATGTTATTAACACCTGGCTTGAGACCAGAGATGCCAACCCCCCTTTCCAGGCCATTTTCTTATCAGGTAGTATTTAAAGTTAGAACATGGGGTGTAGAGGCCTACGGTATGGATTTCACCTCCACGTGGACAAGATAATTTTACTTAGTCTATGATCACAGAGGAAAGCCGCCACCTCAGCAAGCCTCCTCCCAAGTACAAACAATGTGGGTGGGTCCGTCATCCCCGTGGACAGAAATGCTCCAACCTAGACCCATAAACAGCATCATCACCATGAAGGAAAGCAGCAGTGATGTAGCCGAGGGATGCAAATAGATTTTCACTTAGCTGCCCATGCCAAATGATGAGTGGTGGATGCCAGGATGAGTACTGTGCTGAGAAAGATTTGGAAACCCCATCTGAACTTATCAGAGTGCTGTAATTGACTGGTCTTGTCTGCTATGGGCTTGGGATGTGGAACTAGTGGTGAATGTGCTCTATACTTGCCTGGTATAGTCTGTTCATATGAAAGAGCTAAGACGTCTCAGGCAGATGGAAGCACATGTGTTTTAATTTGTGATTCTGTCTTTTTCTGTCTCTTCCTTATTTCTTCTTCCATCTCTGCTTCTTTCTTAGGAAAAATGGCCAAACGTACCTTCTCCACATTAGAGACGTTCCTGATTTTCCTCCTCATAATGATGACTGCTATCACGGTGGCCCTTCTCAGCCTCTTGTTTATCACCAGTGGGACCATCGAAAATCCCAAAGGCAAGTGTCATGGGCTCTCTTGGATGCTGCGCCTAGGCCTGCAGGAAATTCCTCATTATTGTGGACACTAAGGCAGGAAATAGTGTCTGTTGATAATGCTGATAATGGAGGCGAAAGGAGAAGAAAGATCCACTAAGTATCAATTAGTCTTTTAAAAGCCTTGAAGACTGGAGTGTTGAATTCACACCCTCAGGAGGGCCAATGACGCTCTGTAAATGAACTCGAGTGGGGAGGGAACCAGGATGAGGCAGCTGCAATTTTGGTGAAGAGGGTCCACAGCCCCTCCTGAGTGCCAGCTGACTGTTGTTATGATAAACACGGACTCAATTCTCCTGAGTTTCAAGAGAAGCTAGAAATTTGGGTGTTTAGACATAGCTTGATTTCTTTTTCAGCACTACAGATGAATTTAGTTTTTAAAAACTGTCTAGGCTCTATTTACAGGCAATAATGGGCCCATGGGTCTTTATAAAGTAACCTCTAGTCTAGGTTATATTATACCTGTTAAATGAGTAGAGAAGACAGTGGGGTTTGAATGCTCTGACCAAGGTAAAGGGAGGGCTGGACTCAGGCCAACTGGAGAAGGAGATGCATGTCTGAACCCCGGTTTTCTCCTCGGTGGCCTTTTCTCTTTTCCAGTGTATTCTCTACCATGTCCCCGTGCTTTGAATTTCCTGCAAACACAGAGGACCAGAAATCCTCGTGCCAGGAGTGGGCAGAGCAGGGTCCTGGACTGCTAGATAGGAAAGGCTCTGTAGGGCTTATTTAGTTTTAGCTCTTAAAATGAGACTCAGGGAGCCCTGGCCAGTATTGTTCAGTGGTTAGAGGGTGGGCCCACAGACTGAAGGGTCAAAAGTTCAATTCCCAGTCAAGGGCACGTACCTGGGTTGCAGGTTCCATCCCTGGCCCTGGTCAGGGTTTGAGCAGAAGGCAACCAATAGATGTGTCTCTCTCATGTAGATCTCTCTCCTCCCTTCCCCCTCCCTACCCACTCCCTTCCTCTCACCCTCTCTATAAATCAATGGGAGAAATATCCTTGGGTGAGGATTAACAAAAGAGAGAGAGAGACAGACAGACAGACAGACAGACAGACACACTCAGGGAGGTTGTCTATAATTACGGCAACTATTTCCATAGTGGAAGTTGCTGTTTATTGAAGGGTTACTTTGTGGCAAGCACTGTAATCAGGAGCCTACATCAGTTTCTTATTTAATTCTAATAAGGTTCCTATGAAGGTTGATGCCAGTCTTAGTACCATTTTATAGATGTGAAAGCTGAGACTTTGAGATCACAAAGAGCTTGCCCTTGACTATGTAAGTTTTGCTTTGGTTGGCACCACATGCCTATGTCAGTATCAATAAAGCAATAGCAAAGCTTCCTGCTTCCTTTCTTGGAACACTAGATGTCCTGTAGAGAATGTGGGCTCCGGGAGGAACAGACACAGATTCTAACTCCCTCTGGAATGTGGTTGAAAGCGCATCAGATTCTTAGTTGGAAGATCTGGTTTGGACACCTGATTAAGCATATGCTCTCTGAATTCTTGGTTAAGTCACTGTCTTGGCTTTAGTATTCTCATATGTAAACTGAGGAGATTGGACCAGGTGATCTCTAAGGTTTTTTTTGTTTTTGTTTTTTGAGCTCCGGAAGTCTAGGATCCCATAATGAGTTAGTTGCTAATCTCTTGCCTAAGTACTTCCTGAGCACTTGTACCTTCTGACACTGACTTCTGCTGCCTTGGCCATCCCTGGCTGTTGTCCAGGTTGGAAACAAACAAGTACAATGTGTATGTAAGATGTCTAAATATATAAATAAAATCAAAGCTCTAAGGTAGTCACTGCTCTATATGCAGTAACATATTTATTGTTCAAAACAACCCTTGGAAGTAGGGTATTATTATTATCATCTCTATTTTATAGATGAGAAAAATTGGGGTGAATAGCTTAAGTAATTTGTTCAGCCAGTAATTGGTAAAATCAGTTTTCTAATCCAGATTTTTGGCATCTGTCCTTTTATTCTCAATGCTATTCTGCGTCCCTGATATTTGTATGTATATGTGATATACATATTGATAAGAAATGTAGTGTGTACTTATGCATATATGGTGACATGGGAATCATTAGCATAAGATAGAAGTATATCAACACGTATACAAAGATCTAGGTTGCATTAAGAATAAGTCTTTAGCCCTGACTGTTGTGGCTCAGTGGGTTGGGCATTGTACCATGCACGGAAAAAGGTTGCTGGTTGGATTCCCAGCAACATTGTGGGCTCAATCCCTGGTAGGGGGTGTGCAGGAGGCAGCTGATCGATGTTTCACTCTTACATTGATGTTTCTTTCTCCCTCTCCCTTCTTCTCTCCCTAAAAATCATATATATATATATATATATATATATATATATATATATATATATATTTAAGAATAAGTCTTTAAAAAAAGAATAAAAGTCTTGAGAAGGCTGAGGAAGATCAAAGCAGGGTAGAGACAGCTGGGGTGGCACCCTGGAGATGAGGGTTTGAGCTGGATGTGAGTGTGATGGAAATGAATCAACTCTGAAGGTGGTAGTGGAGATTGGTTGGTGGAGTAGAAGAAATAAGTACTCTGGATGGAGAGAATGGCAAGAATGAATCCCAAGAGGCTGCGTTTAGTAGGTTGTGTGCCAGGAACCTGGCACATGATTTGTTTGGCTGGTGTAGAAGTGCATGGTGAGTGAATGAAGGGTGATGAGTTTGCAAGGAATGGCTTGTGAGAAGCTGAAGGAGGTTTGATGGAGACCTTGATTGTTTAGTTGAAACATGTGCAGTAAAGAAAAAGATCATCCTTAGGAATGATATAAAACAAGTTCCTGAGATGTTTTCCACCGTGTATCATACACATAAACAATATACAAAGATTTTTTTCCTCAGGAACCTGAACTTAGGCGTTCTAACTAATGCTGACACATAAGTGATCTGAATTGTTGTTTCTTAAATATCTTACTCTGTTTTTATTTTTTAAACATTTTATATATTATTTATTTAATTGAATTTATTGGGTGACATTGGTTAATAAAATTATGTAGGTTTCAGCTATAGAATTCTACAATACATCATCTGTACTGTGTGTTTACCACCCCAGTTCAAGTCTCAAATATTTTATTCTATTTTTTGGATTCAGGTTTTCCATCCACTGAGAGCCCTCAGGCCACCCAGGGCTCCACAGCCCCTCAGCACTCCACACTCACACAAGGTCCCACAACCACCCAGGTGGACCCAGTGACTACCACCCCAGAGCCTCCTCTATTTCAGAACTTCAGTGGCTACCACATAGGTGTTGGGCGAGCTGACTGCACAGGACAAGTAGCGGATATCAATATGGTAGGTAAATCATGGGCTCCTCAAAGAGACTGTGAAATAAAATTTTATTATTTTGAATCCTGCATTTATTCCTGATTATTATAGCATCGTCTTGCTTTCCTATTGATTTCACTGCTGTGTAAGACTATGAGTATTGTCCTATAAGGAAGAAGGGATCATTTATTTAACCACAACTCCCTTGGAAAGACAGTTGGCCACTTTTTATGAAATGGCAGGGCTAGGAAACTCAAATATGACAGAGGATGGGCAGGTACTGTAAGTGACTGAAGCAGGTCAGTGTGAGATGTTCAACATCTAGTGATCCTCAGTTTGGGGATAGTAGGAAGTTTGGGGTATGGTGGTGCATCTAGAAAGTGCACGGCTCCAACTAATTGTTGCCATGTAAGCATGTGGACTTAGGGTTGCTATATCTGACAGTTTTTTCAAGAGAAGCCAGAAACATCTCTGGACTGAAGATCTGAGGGTTTAAGTATCTCACTTGGAAAATGTAGGCAACTCTAGTTAGTTAAAACTGGAAACCTGGCATGGGCCAACAGTGCGTTAGCCAAGTAGAACCCTTCAATGTGTTAGGTGTGGTCTGTTGGCTGTTAGCACGCAACTTCTTCGCTCTGATGGTGGTTACACTGTTTATATCAACACTTCCCTAGGAAACCAGAGCATGAGGTTGTCTGATGGGATTGTCTCCTGTCTACCGAATAATCTTTAGCTTCAAGGAATTACAGTTGACCCTTGAACAATGAGGGGGTTAGGCACACCAACCCCCACACATTGGAAATTCATATATAACTTTTGACTCCCCCCAAACTTAACTGCAGTTGGCCCTTTGTAGCCACAGATTCAACAAAATGCAGATCAAAACATTATTTTTGATCCACGGTTGGGAATGTAAAAATACTATTTTCAATCCCTGGTTGGTTGAATCCAAGGATGTGAAACCTGTGGATCTGAAGGGCTGACTGTATTTATTAAAAAAAAGTCATACATAAGTGGATGTGCACAGTTTAAACCTGTGTTGTTGGAGGGTCAACTGCATTCCTTGCTGTCTATTCTGAAAACTGACTCTTGAATCATTGTAACCCTAACTAAACACCCACATGAGGGTAAAGCAAGCAGAGGAGGGAGCATTCTGAAGACTTGGGTAGACTTTAAGGGTGGGTTTTATGACATGGTGAGAGAAGGGGCAGGGATAGATGTATTTGATCTGACTTGGCTTAGGGAGGGACAACATGGGAGAAGCCAGGGTTAGGTACTTAACCATAAAGTTATGGTTAGATTATTTAACCATAAAGAAACCATTTTCTTCAGGTAAAAAACAAAACAAAACAAAACTACACATTGGCAACTCAAGTGAGGGAGCCTTCAGTTTCAGGATGTTCCCCCTCAGTGTGCATGGTGGGAGGGGAACTATTTCCTTGCATAGTACCTTGGACTGGCAGGAGAAAAGGTCTTATTTCAAAAAACAGAGAAGCCCTGAAAGCTCTCCAGGACAGTAACACAATTCTGGGCCACACCAGCTCCTCCCTCACCCATAAGGCAATGAATAGCTTCTGTCAAGCTTTTGCTACTTTGCCTTTACTTATTTCTACACAGAAGAGTAAAGACTCTTTTACAGGTGTTGGCTTTATTATTGAAAACACATTATCTCACTCAGAGCTTTCAGTGACCTGTGGACTGTTTTTATTTGTCTTTCTTTTTTTAAAAAAATATATTTTATTGATTTTTTACAGAGAGGAAGGGAGAGGGAAAGAGAGTTAGAAACATCGATGAGAGAGAAACATCGATCAGCCACCTCCTGCACATCTCCTACTGGGGATGTGCCCGCAACCAAGGTACATGCCCTTGACCGGAATCGAACCTGGGACCTTTCAGTCCGCAGGCCGACGCTCTATCCACTGAGCCAAACCAGTTAGAGCAATTTGTCTTTCTTAAGTGAGCCTGCTTTCTGATGGGGTGGGGGTGGGGGGGCACGAGATGAGATAGAGCGCCTATGATTCTCTCTCCCCCTTTAGGTAGACTCTGATGGTCTCCCCCGCTTTAGATGGACTCTGATTGTCTCTTCCCCTTTAGATGGGCTACGGCAAAGGTGGCCAGAATGCACGGGGCCTCCTCACCAGGTTGTACAGTCGTGCTTTCATCATGGCAGAGCCAGATGGGTCCAATCGAATGGCATTTGTGAGCATCGACATAGGCATGGTATCCCAACGATTGAGGCTGGAGGTAAGTGATTGACAAAGCAAGCATTCCGCCAGGCCGCTCATGCTGCCCACTCTTAGTGGCCGCCCCCTGGGACTGGGGGACTCCGGCGGGGCTGAGAGGATTGTGTGCCACCATCTTGTGGCTATGGGTGCCGCCATCTTTGTGATGGATAATGGTTAATTTGCATATTACCCTTTTATTAGATAGGATTCTGATTATGTTTGTGTGTGTTTGAAAATTTCCATAATAAAATTTAAAAAGAATAAGTTAACTCAATTGATCTTTAAAATGGATTGTAGAATATGGCAGGCTCTTCTGTGATTTTCCAAATTTAGGTCTTGTTATTTCCCTGTGGGGAGAGTTGAGTTTAGCAGAAAGGTGCATGGAGGACATGTCTTGGGCTACCTGAGACTTGTAAGGCAGACAGAGTGAGAGCAAGGGAAAGAGAGGAAGGGAGAGGAGATGAGGTGGGGAGGAGTGAGAAATAGAGTGGTGGAAATGGCTTCCAAGTCTATCTCTCTAAGCCAATTTCTGCTATATTTTCTGCCTCAGATCAAGTCACAAAAAAAGAATGTGTTCTCTGATGTCTGTTTACATATTCATGAG